AGACTGGGGGGGGTGGGCCTCCCCCTGCCGTAAATTAATCGCATCTGTCGGGTAACGCCGTGCGGCCGGCAGCCCGGGAGCCTCCCAGCTTACACCGAATGGCGAATTATTGGGAAAAAATGTGTCTTGAGCAGGGGATGAAGGAGTTGAAAGAGAATCATATTCAGAAAGGGTGTTGTGCGTTTAAGATTTTGGTGTAATAGGTTAAATTTGGGCAGCACTGAGCCCTGAAGGAGAATTTCTATTGCAGCAGCACCCACCCCCCCCCATCCACACAGGAGAGAGGCTCACGCTGCCTTGATTTATTTATTTTTTAGCCATTTGCCTATTTACAGTGAGAAAAGGGCCCAGAGATCCCAAATTAACGAAGGGGCTGTGTCATGAGCCAGTGCAGTGCCACCAGCCCCGATCCAATATAAACTGCAGCAAGGACTGCCTGGAGTTCAGAATAAATATTTTTGCAAAAAGCTGGAAATAATCTCCCTATTCACCTAGGCTTTTTGCAGCTAAGAGCTGGTTTGATTTTTTTTTTTTTTTTTCTTCTGCCTGGAGCTGTGTTTGCTGCCATTCATGGGCTCCATCCTCCCCCTCCAGGTCCACCTGATGAAGCCCGAGGCTGTCCCCAAGGCGTGCTGTGCCCCCACCAAGCTCAGCGCCACCTCCGTCCTCTACTACGACAGCAACAACAACGTCATCCTCAAGAAGCACCGCAACATGGTGGTGAAATCCTGCGGCTGCCACTGACGGACGGGTCCCAGCCCCAAGCATCCCATCCCATCGCATCCCATCCCATTCCGTCCCATTCCATTGCATCGCAACCCATCCCATCCCATTGCATCCCATCCCATTTTGTCCCATCCCATTGCATCGCACCCCATCCCATCCCGTCCTATCCCACCCCATCCCATCCCATCCCCATCCCATCCCATTGCATCGCAACCCATCCCATCCCACCCCATCCCATCGCATCCAATCCCATCCCCATCCCATCCCATCCCATCCCAATCCCAGCCCCGCTGGAGCGATGTGACGCTGAGTTTTGTTCTGTGTGTGTGGAAGAGGAGTTTCATGGGCTGCATCAGAGCAAAGGCCATCAATAATTAATAATAATAAAGAACAACAACTAATCCCTCCCAACCCTTCCTAAAGTGGATGTAAATAATATAAAACGTTTATTCTCTTACCACACTTACTGAGACACACACATCTATACATTTCTATACATATATATATAGGAAAGAGCGGATTTGTGGCCGGTTCCGTGTCTGTTTTATTGGTGGCTGATGCGTTTTCCCCTCACGCTGCTGGTTCACAGGCTGCTGCAGTCTCTGGTGGAGGCAATTAGGGCTGTAGGTAATTAAGACAAGGGTGGCGGCGGGTGAACTGCTCAGGGATGGAGCCGTTCGGAGCCAGCTCTGCCTGACCCACCTCTGCCCAGCACTTCTAATTCCCTTAATGAAAACACCATCAGCCAATTAAGGAGCTGGTTGAGTAACCCGCTCCTGTTTACTTAAAGTTCAAAAAACTCAGCCAGTGCGGGGGGGGGGAAATAAAATCTATCCCTATTGAGCTATGACACCGTTATAAAATAAACACCTAGTCTGGAAAGTAAACACGGAGTTTTTCTTGCTGTTTGTTTTTTAATAAATGTCACGGCACAGCAGTGCTCTGTTCGGCATTTCGCAATGAAAAAATACTCTGGATCGGCTAAAAATTGTTCTTATTTGCTTGAAAATAAGAAATCAGCCCTGCCAAAGCGTTGTGATGGGAGGTTCGGGTCAGGCTGTGTCTCCCCAGGTGGATGGATGCTTCCTGGGGGCTCCAACGGGGCTGCAGCCGCACCAGCCCCGGCCCCGGCCAGCTTCTCGCTGCTGTTTGCACAATTAAGTTATTTATTTGCTCTGATTTTTAAAAGGAAACAGTCTGGCCCAGTTCTCAGCTCGGGTACCCGGGGAAGCTGGCGTCACTAAATAAATAATGAACCTGGCTTAGGCAAATGCAAAGAAAAAAAAAGGAGTAAACCCACCAAAAAAAGAAAGATCCAGGGCCTGCCAATACCTGGCTTCCTGAGAAAAGGTCTCGCCTCTGGAAAAATGTCATCTGCCGGCTAATTCTGCATGAAACCCAGCTCAGGATGCCATCGCGGCTCCGTGACACCGGGGCTTCTGCAGAGAGAGCTGAGGGCTCCTATCGGCCCCTCGACAAGCCAGGGCTCTGGTTCAGGTGTGGCTGAAGATTTCGGCAAAGTTTGTCTTCCAAAATTTGAGATTTAACTGATGAAAAGGAGCGAGGAAGGGAAACGCTGGGGTGGTTTGTCTGTTTGTCAGGTATCATCGCATCTGAGTGCTCGCATCTCGCCTCGTTCCAGTTGTCAGGCAATGTACAGCCCCCAAACGGTGCGAAAAACCAGCACGTGAATAAAAGCAGTTTGGAAATTAAACCCCTTCCTACAGCCTCAGAATTATTTTTTCCCCCTCTTCCATCACCCAAAGGGCTTCTCCGTTTCCTGGTGCTCCTTCTCCCGACTTTGTTCTCCCACGGGCACATCCCAGTAACCGCCCTCGCTCTGGGATGGAGATGGACCAGGCTGGTCCCAGCCAGGGACCTGCCTCCCTCTGCTGCTGGGAAAGGACACTACAGGGACAGGGACACACCAAAACCACCTCGAGATCCTGCTGCAGAAAAAGCAGGAAAGATTGGGCTCCGCTCTGCTTTCCCCCACACAGGCACCCTCCCCTGGAGCCAGGGTTTGGGGACCAGATTTGAGCAGATGAGGGCAAAGGCAAAAAAAAAGCATCTTGGCTCACACAGTAAGAATTCAACAGCCAGGGTACGTCCTCGGCATTTTAAAACTAGGTTTTATTGTTACACCAAACCTAAAGCCTTTCCCAACCACAGCAGCAGAACCAGCCCCGCCCCGCTCGGGGCACGCAGCTCGGTGCAGGCTGAGCAGCGATTTCTCCTCGGGTGGGTCGGACCCCTGCACGCTGTCCGCAGGCACGCTCACGCCAAGCTTTGCATGGGGATTTCGACAGAAGCCGCAGGATCTGGGCACTGCCGGGGGTCCTGGGCACTGCTGGGGGTCCTGGGCCTGTCCCACCCCCGCCAGCTCCCCGGCCCCTCCTGGACAGGCTCAGCCCATCCTGCTCCCACCAAGAGCCGAGCTCACGGGCACTCCCCGCAGTCCGAGATGATCACCTTCTGCTTCGGTTTCCCGTCTTTGGTGCCCTGAGCCTTGGGGAAAAGAGCAGCAAGAATTAAAAAGCACAAAATCTAAGGGCAGGAAGGAGGTGGGCTCTACCCCGACCGCCCTGCTGCCGGCACCCACCTCGATCTCCCGCACCACGTCCATGCCCTCCGTCACCTCCCCGAACACCACGTGCTTCCCGTCCAGCCAGTCTGTTTTATCGCAAGTGATGAAGAACTGGGAGCCGTTGGTGTTGGGGCCAGAGTTTGCCATCGATAACAGCCCTGAGATCAAACAGTGTGGTGTTAGAGCTGGGGAGGGAGCGCTGAGCTCCAGCACGTGAGCTGCTACTTCCACCCAAACCCCCATGCTCTGCCAAATGCTGCTGGTTTCAGCAGAGCTTCGAATATGAGACTCCACAGAAACTGGTGGAAACCAACTATGCTGAGAGAGAAGCATCCGCAAGCAGGAAAGACAGAAAGGGGTTGAGACTGCTCATCTATTTTCAGTTGCAATAACAGAAAAGCTGCTTGTATGGAGATAAAGTTGCTTTTTGTTGCTTTTCATGGTCACACTGTGACTCTCTGTCTTTAAAAATCAAACAGGAAAGCAGCTTTGAAATTATTTCTCCATTATGTAACGCTGCAAATTAACAGTGGGTGGATGGAGGGAGAACGATGCATTTCTGCTCGCTGAATACCAGGGATACACGACGGTCTGACCACAGCAGATTACACGGCAAAAGAAGCGTTTGGCCCACACAGATTATAATTCAGGGCTGTTCCTGTCAACACCGTCTAGGTCCAAACAGCCCGAGTGCAGACCCTAGATGACGCTGAGACATTTTTCTCTCCAGCCCCTGCCTAGGGAGTTGGCTCTACCTGGCCCTGTGTGTTTGAGAATGAAATTTTCATCGTCAAACTTCTTCCCGTAGATGGATTTGCCCCCGGTGCCGTTGTGGTTGGTGAAGTCGCCAGCCTGGCACATGAACTGGGGGATGATGCGGTGGAAGCTGCTCCCTTTGAAGCCGAAGCCTTTCTCGTGGGTGCAGAGGCAGCGGAAATTCTCTGTTGGGGAACAAGGGGGAGAGAGGTGAGAGCTGGGTGGCAGCTGAAGGCACCACACTGGGGAGGCTGAGCCCCTCCTCACCGACGGTCATGGGCACCACGTCTGAGCGCAGGAGGATCCGCAACCGCCCCGCGGGTTTGTTTCCGATCTTTATGTCCATGTAAACCTGAGGGTTGACCCGGGATTTCTTGGCAGGAGGCTCACCCTGGGCAGGAAAAGAAAAAAAGCAAGTTGAGATGACATTCCTCTGCTCTGCCTCTGGGGATGGCTGGCCCCACCCTCTCATCCTTCAGGACAGCAGGGACACTGAGCTCCAGTTGTTTTTCCTACCTCCTGCACCTCTGGTTTGGGGGCCTCTGCTCCTCCCTCCTCCGTGTTCTCCTCCAGAGTCTTCCCAGAAAACTTCTTCAGCCACTCATCGTCCGACCAGACTGCAAAGGCAAAAGGAAGGGTCAGAGCACAGGAACTGAACCAAATCACAACGCAGGGGTCAGGGCACAGCACGGCACTGGCAGCAGGATCGCACCAAGGCATGGGAGCACTCGTCTGGCAGCAGCCTACCCCAACAGACACAGGATGTGGGGAAATAAGGGACAAAGTCACCTCTGGCACGTGTGTGTGTGCTGTGCCCTCTGTCAGAGGGCATGAAGGCGATTAGAAGTGCAGCCAAGACTGTCTCCATTCAAGGTGTTGGGGAATATTTTTGGTTATTCGGTTATTAATTTATTTTGTTATGAGGATGCTGCTCAGATCCTCGAGATCCCCAAACAGGAGGCAGAGCAGAGGTCTGGGAAAGCAGAAAGGCTGAGGCACAAAGCTCTGACCATCCACAGCGATGCTCTCCCCACCCGGGCACCAACTCACCCGGCCTGGACGATCCCTCTTTAATTCGCATCGGTTTGGCCAAGTTCACACGAATTGTCCTGCCAAAGAGCTCAGACTCATTCTGGAAAAAAAACAGAACAAAGCCCAACAAAAGGTAAAAAAATCCCTGTGCCCCCCAAATCCCCGCAGAGGTCCAGAGCTTGCTTTCTCTACGGTCCGTACCATGTTGTCAATAGCTGCCGCTGCATCCTGACAAAAAAGCAAAAGAAAAACATTATTATCATTTCTTCTCTCTCTACCTTTAAAACAAGGCTCAGCATACACGTGCCGCAGCATTTTGTTGCAAAAAAGATTGCCAAAGGACTGTTTTCCTAAACCTCCTTTACCCCAGGGCTGTAAAAACTGATGGAGCTTACAAAAGCCGTATTCAAACGAGTATCTGGGGTTTGTCTTCCCACAATCAGCCCACTAAACCCATTTTAGGTTTGGTGCTTCACTGCTTACACCAATATTTGAGAAAGGAGAAGAGATCTCCCGTACAAAGTCCAGGATAAGTTATAAAATGGCAAATATCTGACAGAGCCCCCCGCCTGCAAAGCCGAGAAACCCCTCCCCACTGCTGCTGGGCTAGCAGGGATGCAGACTGGGCCGTGCTTCAGCTCAGAAGAAAACAGGAAAACTGGGAACTTGGAAAGGCAAAACAGCAGCTTCGAAGGCTGGAGAGTGACCTGACATGAGTAGCCCCCATCCTCTGCGGCACTGCTGGCCCCAAAGGGAAGAGGATCCAGCCCAAAACACCGGGGGAGGAAGAGCCCCGTGCAGCTCGGGTATCTCCCCTTTTCTCACCTCCGCCAGCTCAAACTCGATGAAGGCGAATCCCCGGTGCTTTTCTGCAGAGAGAGAGAAAGAACCAGTCACGAGCGA